ATGTTTGTTTACTCAAGAAAGCTCTGTATGGACTCAATCAAGCTCCCCGTCAATTGTTTGCTACTCTTTCATCATTTTTGTTGACATATGGATTTTCGAACAGCACGACTGATCCATCTCTTCTTTTCTATCATCATGCTGATGTTCATATGTATATTCTAGTCTATGTTGATGACATCTTACTCACGGGATCAAATCATTCTTCTATTGCAAAGCTTGTGGCTGATCTGCATACCAGATTTAATATGAAGAATCTCGGTCCGGTATCCTACTTCCTTGGCTTGCAGGTCACTCAACAACCAAATGGTATTCATCTAAATCAGTACAAATATGCTGCAGATCTACTCAACAGAGCCGGTATGTCTGAATCCCGACCAGTAAACACGCCTTTACCCCTTAAACTCTCGGTTTCACCTGAAAATTCGGTTCCCTACTCTCATCCGGAGCTATACCGGACTCTGGTTGGTTCTTTACATTATCTGATGTTAAGCTGCCCTGATATTATGTTTGATGTTAATGTTTTATGTCAGCATATGCATCATCCTCAGCTTTTCCATTTTCAACTACTTAAGCGGCTTCTCAAATATATTAAAGGCACCATACATTATGGTTTGCCCATTTTACGGTCTACATTGCACCTTACTGCCTTTTCTGATTCCGATTGGGCATCTGATTCAACTGATAGAAAATCAATTACTGGCTACTGTGCATTCTTAGGTGAAACCTTGATTTCATGGATTGTTAAGAAATAAACAGTTGTTGCTCGATCCTCGACTGAAGCTGAATATCGGGCTATTGCCACTGCAGCTTGTGATATCATATGGTTGCAACGGTTACTTACTGAATTTGGTATTAATACATCTCCAACAAAGCTCTTCTATGACAATGTGTCAGCTCTTACTCTAGCAGTCAATCCTTTTTTTTCATGCTCGTACAAAGCATATCGAAATTGACTGCCATTTCATTCGTCACTGCATCAAAAGGCAACAAATTACCGTTCATCATATTGCCTCTCAGGATCAACCAGCTGATCTTTTCACTAAGTCACATTCTGCTC